GTAATCAATCAAAACTTGCTTGAAACTGCATACTTTCAAGAGAAATTCAACTGAGACAAAAGATGTCCCAAATTGATGGATCCTCCTTCTCTATTCCATAATAGTCAATCATGGTATCTCACAAGATGGCAGAGTGGCTGTTCTCACTGTCACTGCTATAGAGCTTACTTCAAAAAAGAAACCAGGAAGAAACTTTCTCAAATCATTGCCATCCCTCGTCCTCTAGCAATTGAATTCATGTAGCAAGATTGTAAAATTATATTGTGGTTGCAGGAACGTTTTGCAGCCGATAGCTATATATGTATAATGTGTGTAAGTAAACTCAAAGAAGTTCCATGCTCTGTTGATTGCGACAGCCCAAGCTTGCAAGGGACTGGCTGCAAACCTGTAGGCTCTATAATCTGAGAGTAGAGCTTTTTGCAGGAGGCATTCTTGAAATCCATTTACACAGTTTGGCAAAGCTTCATACATGGACCAAAGAGAAGAGTTGTGCAATGTGATGGAGCTTGTGTTAAGCTAGCTTTCATGGTTTGTAAGATTTTAAGATTTTGGGCGTAGGCACGCCATAATTACGGGTTGAGACACCTCCATAGGCTTCAGATACAAGCTTCGTAGTCATAAAAGCCTCAAAGCAAATGGTAAACGTTTCGATGAAGCTAGAAAGCCGATATGCGGTGATCCACTTCGCACCAGCCATGACTAATCATATATTCTACCGTATAAAGAGCCATAAAGATGTGGATCATGATAGAAGTGAAACAGGATTACTCTCAGCAGAAGATGCTTTTGTGACTTTATAGCGGGTGAGGCGAATATCAATTTCAATTGATCAATTGATTCTTTTATCCGAATATCATTTGTGGATCTTCTCATACTGATGCATCATGATTCATGACTCACTGTTTTTATTCACCAGATCAGATTCCTTCGCAATGAAAACTCCTAGGTCTCACAAAAGTGCGATCGGCTTTGCGACACAAGTTGAACAGCAGTCTATTGAACTCTTGCCTTGTATATCTAGAACAGCTACATAGAACAACTGTCTTAAAGCGATTACTCTCCAACCGGAATAGCAGTATGAACGCCACCAATATACATTGCGGTCCACATGAAGCCGCATTGATATCACAACTCTAACTCTTGACAACAAATGTCAGAAAAAGACAGTTCTTGCACTCCAGACTAATGGAAATTGTTCAAATTTTTCAAAGTATCATTTCAATCCTAAAAAAACAACTTCGCAATTTCTACACTGGATTTCACGATTCAAATGAGGAGTCAAACTATCAGTTATGTGACCGCATTGAACCACGCTATCCCCCTCCTCCTGCACTTCTTACCGCTGCTGACTTGACTCCATTTCGATTTCTCAATTGATTATCCTTTTTTAGAACTGTACATTTAACTTGTGGAGGATTAACATTTTTTCTTGATCATTGCAATCGATCAAAACGCTTTATCATCGAATTGATAAAGAAGTTCTTTTTCAACAAACAAAAAAATTATAAAGTCCTTCGAGATTCGATTCCCCTATCCTGAAAAAGATGTATCCGATCTGATCTTTTCTTCTTCACGCAATTGGAACAAGAAACTAAGAATAAATGATTTCTTTTTCTTCAAACCTTTTTAATTTGTTCTTAATCATCATAAATTGTTTATTTCAAAACGCAACTTCTAACAACAACAACAATGATAAGGTTCCTTATTATGTTCCTTCTAGTGGAGGAGGTAAAAGTCTTAATAGAGTTCCTCCAACTGGTTTAGGCGAACCTTTAAATGTGAGCATATATATATTTTTAATAAAAAACTTAAAGTTATTTAATCCTCAGGGTCAATATGGGTATCCTATACTTTTTCGCTGATAAAGAAAACATTTGATTTGAAAACTAGGTGATCATCTCTGCACGAAGTTCATCTGAAGTTCTTACCGATTCAGGGTTCGAGAATTATGCCAAATCAATCGGATTGTTAAGTCACTCCCTCAATTTTCTGGCTTTATTCCTCAAATCATCATATTACAATCTTTCCAAAAGTCAAACAAAATCAAACTCATCGATTAATAAACATCTTGTTCACTTCAATCTTTTTGCTTTTAGTTCTCAAGAATGTTTAGGACTTCATCTAGGCGATCTTCAATCAGCTAATCTAGGTGACGGAAATGGTTGGTTAAATGAAGTTTAGTCAATCTTTTTCAACTCTTTTTCTTTATCCCTATTGACTTGCTTGCTGAATTATATTTTAATTCATGAAATGCAATCTAATAATTTTAGACAAAGTTATATCGTCAAGGTATGTGATGATAAAATCTATTCATCAACCTAAAAAATCTTCAAACTTGACCTCAATTGGTATCAAACCCTTCAAAAACAACAGATTACGGTGATCCATTACTCGGAAGTTGCATAGAATCGCTAATAGGAGGAAACCATTTCCGGTAATGATTCAAACTCACCGTTTCCAAAAATACATTTTCCCACAATTCTTCAATCAATCCCTGACTAACTTCAAGACCAAACTTAATGTTTTTTTTCTGACCAGTTACTGGCGTCAAAATGGTACAAAAGCTCCAAGTGGTGCATTATTTTTAACAGTTTCATCAGAAGAAGATTTAAAAAAAGCTCATACAATCATTCCAAATGGTTATAATCTAGGAAGGTAGATATGCAACTTCCCAAATTTCATCAGAGAACCTGAACTGATCAATAGAATTCAACTTTGTGAAATGTGTAGAGATAGATTAGTAAGGAATGCTACTGAGAGTAATACTACTTTTGGTAATAGAAAATATTCCACTAAAGTTCAATATGTTGGTGGAATGCTTGCTCCTGGATCTGTAGGAGGTACGCAATCCCCAAATTAAAGCTTTCTCAAAACTTACAGTTTGAAATAAAAGGAGTAAGGAAGACTGACTTGGACTCCTTTTTCATCAATAGTGAATCACGGTATTTCACAAGATGGTAAAGTAGCCGTTCTCACCGTCACAGCTATCCCAAAATTTCCTTCAAACAAGAATCCAAGACCAAAATTGCTCAAAGAACCACAAGTCAATATAACTACCGGCACCGTCATCGTTCATCATATAGTGACTTGAATGAAATTCATGTTGCAAGATTGTGCAATTAAATTATTGTTTTCAAAACTCTTTGTACATACGGATGAGTGGTGATCTGTAAAATAAAAATGTGTCTGATCTTATGCATTTTGGATCAGCCGCTAGTAAATTAAATCTAGACAGGCTTGGTCAATTTTACCTGGAAAACTTGGGCAAGATTGGCAAAGAATTTCTGACCAGGGTTTGTAAATTGACCACAAATGAACCATACATTGTCAGTCTTGTCCACAAGTACAGGTGCACAACATTGATATCACATGTGCCACTGGCCCCATCAATGACAATCATGTGTAGTGAGAATGGCTTCAAAAGCCAAGATAGCAAGGAAATCACCCAGATAGGCAGCAAGATCAAGTACAGCAGCTCTTGTGAAGCTTCTTCCCAATTGCCTGTCAACTTGCTCCAGTTGGGGCATCAAAACTGAACAGCTTTGGTGCAATTGACCGTGGCTGTTCTCACCAAAAGGGATTGTAAGGGGGTAAAGACTTTAACCCACATCATGATTTCTAACCTTGGGTCTTAGGAGGATAAGAACTTCTCCAGGAAGTATGCGTCTAGGTTTCAAGTATTGACTTATGGTGATGCCGAAAGAAGACGCGCTTTTCCAAGAAGATATGTAAGGATAAAAGCGTTGTGTGTTATACTCAAAGGTATCAGGTGTTGATTGTAAAACTAAGGATGAAAGATGACGGGCGTTGGATGAAGGAACAAGTCTCCCTACACAAAATCCGTATCTGGATTACCTATAAGAGCATCCACTATCGTCTCTGTAAATGGCCTCGGTACGGTAAATTTTACTGAAATTTACCGTACCGAGCCTCGAAATTCCCAATCGTGGTCAAAATACAGATCTGTACCAACAGAATCGGTGGAAAATCGGTAGGGGTCCAGCAAATATACTGGACCTCTACCGAATCGGTATGTGGAAAAGTACTGGACTTTACCGAGGCGCACATCACATCCCACTCCCAAAAGTCAAAGTTTGACTACACCTCTGCCTTTGATTCTACTCTCGATCCACCTACATACACCAAACTTGCCATTCATCCTGATTCCCAGCATACCTATCACACATTGTTACTGCTGACCACTGTCACCAAGTCTCCCTGTTCTCAAATCATCTGTTTTCAAATCAGGTTTTTTGAATCGTTTGCTTTCAAATCTTTTTTCTCATATTGCTCGTTTTCAAATCGTTTTTTGAATCGTTTGTTTCAAAACGTCTGTTAGATCAGTTGTTTCTGAATCAATGATTCTCCAAACTATTGTTTGTTCTCAAACTGAGATGTCAACTCATGAGCAACCCCAAAAAGTCCAACTTGATTGAGATTTGCAGTTTTTTTACGGAGAGCGCGATTGTGGGACAGGGTCCATTCTGTACGGTACGTACCGTACAGAATGGTATATACACCACTAAAGGGTTTTTGGCGAAACTCACGTGAGACGCGGGTTCGCTTCAGATCCGACCCCTGAACGAACATCCTCCCGTTTTGGTAACATGTGAACGCTGCGTCATCACATTACCGCGAACATCACCAAGCCTCCACGGCTCTATCCATTGCCATCACAGGGAGCCGAGATATCTTGACTATGCGATGAAATATCACAGACTTGAGCCGCTTGTTGCACCGAGCTTCTATGTATTCAAAGCAAACATGAGACACACAAGATCGTTCCATGAGTATCACGTTGCAGAGATAGTCATGAAACGATCTCAGATATGAAACATATTGCAATGCATCACTATCTCCGAAAGAAGAGAAATCTTCGGACAAACAAAACTGTTGCCACCGTTGAGGCCTCTTGTTTGGTCTCGTCGATATTGCTTTCCTTTCTGCACCTGACCGCTTCAAATCTCCCGATCAAAGTCATTCGTCTTCTATTCAAATCCGCCGAAATCAACACTTTGGGGGTCTTGTGTGACACTCTGAAACACTCGGTATCCCGCAAGAATGGCGGTGGGGTTCGTAACATTGGCACAAGCCAGTTCCGATGAATGTGAGATGTTTTTCAAAGACCGCTTGGTCCAGACTGCAATCTGGATCAATATTAATGTTTGAATTAATATATCATCTGGTCCGTTAGACTTTATCCAATCGACATCTGGGGCAAACATGGGACATTGGACATGTAAGCTCTGTACAAGTCGAACCTTCAAGGACAAAGGCCAACACTGCAAGTTAAAAACCCACATCGATCGAGTCCGCGTGGAGCTGGAAAGACGCTCGATGTCTCGTCCCACCGTGGCACCTCCTGGGCTACGCTCTCGAGCCATGCAAGCTACCTCGGCGATCCAGCAAAACCCTCTGGATCCGACGATACCTGAAGAGAGTGGCACCCCTGGTCGCTACAACGATTCCGGTCCCGGAGTGCCCCAAGGATTCATGGACATTTTTGATCAAGATATGGACTCAAGCTCTGACGAGCTCGAGTCACTCTACGGGCCGTCCCACCTCAACGACGTGGCCTTTCCAGACTCTCGAGAGTCCAGTGTGGACCTGGACGAAATCCTGGATGGTAGTTCCAAATCAGACAGCGGAACAGAGTCGTCACCCGAAAATGATCAAAGAGCAATCACCGATACGTGCCTTCCATGGTACCCTCTTCGAAAGAAAGAGGTACGTCAGTCCTCATACTTGTACAACCCCGGTCCATATTGCTGATCTTTCTCATCATCGGTCCATTTGCATCATTAGCATGCTGCCGCGTTGTTAATGTTGGGCACAAGCCGAGATCTGATGTCGACAGCTGAGTATACACGTATACGCTGTATCTTGAAGAATGTCCTGCATGTGGATCTCCCCGATCTTGGTCAGTCAAAGAATGATCTTTTTCCCTGATCCTCATTGGAGCACGAATGACCAAAGTTACCCACTGATTACGACCTTGATATGTTGCAGGACATTTGAAAAATATTCGGAAAGACCTCAAGGCCCGTTTTGGCCTGAGGGTGTTGGAACAAATAAGTCCGCTGGGAAATCCATGTTTTACTCTTTCAGTGACTGATATCATATCTCAGGTGAGTATTTTCAATTGTTCCACTCCACTCACTCACGTATGTAAATCTGATGTTGTGTGGTAGGAGTTATCTAACCCCGAGGTAGCTCCAAACATTGAGTTTCTGCCGGAGGACGACAAAGCGGTCGTTGTTGATCGTTTTTCACAATCGAAAAAGTGGCGTGAAGACCTACCACCAAGTCTGCGAGTTCCTATGGTTGATGTCGACGGCGAGCATTTTTACATATACGAACCCGCACAGCTTGCAGATTCTCGTGTAGTTATTCCGGTTTTTTTTATAAGGATGAGCTGGTTGTTCGGGCAAAGTGTTTGAAAGTAGTGTCCCACGGCCCTGGAGGCTCTCACCATTTCCGCGTAGCACCCGAGCCAAAGTTTGATTCACCAACTCTCTTGGATGTGGATGTTCAAACCTTTGCATGTTCTTTTACACGAATTGAATTGCAGAATGGCAATAAATGGTGTGACTCTGCAGCAACTCATTTATTACGTGAGCTGGTTTTTCAATGCTACCTTTGCAATTTTAAGAAGAACACTGATCAAAATATTGTTATTCAGAGGAAACGGAGCACGGGCTAAAGCGCATTGAACTCCCAAACCCTTGGCGTGTGAAGGCAAATGGTTTGATTATTCGACACGTACCTGTGGTGTTGTATTCAGATGATACGTCTGGTAATGTCTCCAAAAAATGGAACAAACACATGTCTTTTTACTTCACACTGGCGGGTCTGAGACCAAAACTCACTAATCAAGAGTACCATATACACCCTCTGTGTACGTCGAACATTGCAAGTGCTTTAGAGCAAGGAGACCAGATCGTGGATGAATTGAAGTCAGTATCTGGATCTCTTCTTCAGCCAAGTCTATGTGCTTTTCGACAACTGATGACAACAATAAATCATAGCCGCGCCTCCTCAACCGGATTTAAAACTTATGATTGTACTATTCAGCAAGATGTCCTAGTTGTGCCTTTGGTCCTTTGCCACATGGGCGACTCACCAATGCACGCAGAAATTTCTAATACCACCAATCCTTCCGGTACTTTATCACCTTGTCGAATTTGTGATCTCACCGTGGAGTCTCGAGCTGAGAAACAAACTGAAACCTATGTTCAAAAGTTTGTTGGAATCAATGAAGATTGGTTACCGGTAAGTCTTTGTTGTTTAATTAATTAGATCATACGTTTGAATTCCCTGACGTTGGAAAATATAATCTGTAGGCCAGTCTACCTTTCCGCGACTGGGACCGTACCCGCGAGCAGACCAAGGCGTTATGGGAGCTAACACGAAACCCGAAAAGCATCAAACAATTTGACGATCTATCAAAACAACATGGTACTCGTGATTCTCTCAATTTACCTTTCGCCAGGGAAGTTCAGCAACTCTACCGGTCCAATAAGAACAAACCCAAAGGCGAACAGACCTCTCAGAATGAAATCTTATTGCATTGTCAACATTTGGAAGAAAAATTTGGTGACCATATGTTCAACCCATTTTTACGCTTGGCAGGTGCACTCTGACTTGATCTCAAAAACATATTTATTGGTACCATCTAACAAGTTTTTCACAGATTTTAATGGTCACTTAGACACCCCAGTGGAAACTCTCCACGTGGTACTGCTCGGAGTTACAAAATACCTATATCGCGACGTAGTTTCGAAATTATTACCCGCGCAGCTTGTGACCCTTCATGGGCGGTGGCAAGGTTTCAAGATTGATGGGTTGAATGTGGCACCTATACAACCTCGTAATATGGTCCATTATGCAAACAGCCTTCTTGGAAAAGACTTTCGGGTGGTCCTGCAGGTTGCGCCTTTTGTATTCTTCGATTTCCTACCCAAAGATTATAGATACTGCTGGATTGCTTTAGTTCATCTAGCTTCTTATGTCTTTCAGCCAAAGATTTTCAACAAGGATAAATACATTTCAGACCTCAAGATTGTCATTGCTCGGTTCTTGAAGCAACTCATCGCCCTGAATGCTCAATGGACCAACAAACCCAAATTTCACATCCTCACCCACCTGCCCTTTTCAGTCAAAAGACATGGAACACCAAGTCTATTTGCAGCGGAAAAAATGGAGTCTCAAAATGGTGTCACTCGTCAAGCATCTGTCAAATCAAATCACCATGCCCCAGGGAAAGACATTGCAAACCGTTTCAATGACCGGAGATTGTTACGAATGCTCATCTCCGGCGGCTCTTTTTTTGATGCTAGACTTGGTACCCGAACGACCGCGTCCACACTTTTCCGCAAGCTTTTCCAAGAAAAGGAGATTCGACGAGGGCTAGGACTGCACCTGCCGGTTGGACCTTTGGAGCACAATAACCCAGTTAAGGTCACATGTGAGTGTAATCGCGCTGAGTGATTAATGTTTTGATCCTTAAACAACCTTATCTGACGGAGGCCCGCATCAGACCCCAAACGCACGGACAGTTCCAATGATGGTCCACCACCGGAACTTCGCAGGAAATGGCCAAATGTAAAGTGGAAAAGGGTGCTCCAGGTGGTCCTTGAAAACGGGGAAAAAGTCTTTGAAACTACCTTCATCTTGGTACGCGTCAAATTCACATTACTCTGAGCTGACGCAGGGCTAATCAGATGAATGAACCCTGGAAATTCCTGTTACGACAGGTCGATTTTAAAAATCAAGCCACCTCACCCATCAATGTTGGACGCGTTGGTGGCATCTGGGAACAGGTTGGATCAAAGGTGATCTTACTTCAAGTCAAAAAGTGCCAGCTCTCATCCGGGCTCCATACATATTACGGCATGAGGGAAATTAAAGAAACATCACGCGAAGCTTGGATTCACACCGATGTACGTTATATCATCCAGTATTCATTTTCATGATTAGCCTTAGCCTAGCTAGCATTAATATTTCTTTTGCATGCAGATGGTCACATGTGTACTCAACGTACAGCACAACTGCCATCAAGGAAGATGCGCTGTAACCAGCACAAAGAGTTACCGCGTTGAGCGTACCGAAGCCAAGAACAAGCGCCCCGAAGTGACTCACAAAGACACCAACTCCTTCATTGTCAATGCGGGTTCACATTACAATGCACACTTACATCGAGTGGTCACAGACGCTGTGTGGTCTCAAGTGACAGCAGAAGAATGGTCTGAATCAATTACTGAAGGGCTTTCTGTGTGGTACAAGAGATGTCCACCTAAAGACGAGGAGATGAACACTGCAGAAGACAATGACCCTGGCGCAGAGCAGGAGGATCTCTTGGGGGACCTTAATGTGTAGCTGATACTCCAAAAAAATCTTTCAAAGACACAAAAAGTCATCTTTTATAATAAATTCCATGTGTATATAGTTGGAATGACCAAAATCGTATTGAGGATAATATAACATTCTCCTTAATTTACACAACATTCAATTTGTATGTTGTTCAAGGCGAGCTTGGGTCCTTGCGCAACCAAATTCTCATGTGAATCCGCAAACCAAG